CCCGCTTGATCGCAAGGTGTGCTGCCCCAAGGCAGCTGCGGGACACATGGGCTCAACTTTGCACAGCTCGGAGTCCAGCTTCACTGGCAATTAACTGCTTCTGAAGATGACATTTCAGGGAATGAGAACTTTGAGTTCTTCCCATTTCCTGGCCCACTGAATCATTCTCGAAGTCCTGATGTTATAAATTTCATTAGAAGTGTAAATCACAGAGCAACAGTTCCTTGACCTCAGCAGTTTATAATCTGCAAGAGACATAAATAAGAGTCATGTGAAATCAGACCAACTGGTTTGATCGAGATGGGAGGGACGAAGGGAGAACTGGCAGATGGAAAGTTCTGTTTGAGTGATTTTCCCCCCTCCTCGAAGCCAACGGTTTATACTAAAAGCCCCAGTTTCCATTAATGTTGTCTGTACGACAGGGCTTCGAAATGTTCCCGGAACAACGAGGTGAGAAGATCATGGGATTTTTCTCTCCACGAACTTTCTGAAGCCCCCTTGTGTCTGCTGCTGCCCCCTGGAGGCAAAGCAGCGAGGGTATCTGGAGCAAGGACGAGACAGAGCCTACCTCGGGGCAGGCAGGCTAACATTTTAAGCAGTGTGCCAGCCTGTGCGTTTCAGAGCACAGGGAGGGAACATCACTCTGGGGTCCTGGAAGGAAGTGGCATTAAAGGATGAGTGGGGATTTGCAAGGGCATGGAGGAGAGATGGCCATTGCAGGCAGTCCTCGCAGTGGTGGGAGGGAGACTGGCGCCTGGAGCTTGCAGGTAATTAGGTGTAATGTGTGTAGCGGGTGGGAGTGGAGGAAATGAGGCTACCAAGGGGGTCTGATACCAGTTCCTTATCACTTGTGGAGGAAGGCTGCAGAGGAAAGAAATGGGGAGCTGTAGGAGTGGGGTAAACCGCAGAGGAAGGAGAGGTTTTTGTAGCAGTGGAAAACAGCAGGAGTGTACCAGCCTGGGAGGTTGTGCTGGCCAGACAGGGTGTTCTCAGTGCCAGGACTTAAGAGCCGTGGTCACGGCACCTTCCTTCTAGCTCTAGGTGAGCTCAACAGCGTGGTGTGTTGCATGTGGTGGTGAGAAGTGTCGGCTGGGGCGTTTGAGGATGGAAACTGATCGCCAAACACAGGTCAAGACAGCAGCGTGGAAATGCCAGGGGAACAGTAGAATGGGGACAAGACCACACGAGGGAAAGGACCTGATGAATTTGCATTGTGGCCATGGCCCAGCTTGAGAGGATCTCCAGCCCCCAGTGGGATTGATCGGCTCAAGTTCTGGGAAGAGTCAGCCCTGACTCATGGTCTGTGTGTCATGGTCAGCTGTGCTCCTTAAGGGTTGCAATGATTGATTGCTCTTGCTTATGTTTTCTGAAGTCGATGGCTAGCCCTTTGTTCTGAGGTAGCCCTGGGTCGTCTCAAACCTGCAACCTCTTGGCTAACAGCTGAGATGAGTTCACTGTGTACACCCACACAGTGATTGACCGGTGGGGGGGTTTGGAGGCCTGTGGGTACTGCTTACCACTCCAAGGCTCGTGTTAGCAGAAGAGAGACCCTGAGCTCCTTAAAGAGTCCTTCTCAGAAGATTCCAGCCTCCTGGGAGGACTAACCGCCCAACCCACCCGGGTGGAAAGACCAAGACGCTGAAACGTCTCATCAGGGAGAGTTTCCTGTCCAGAGGCAGACGGACAGGGGTGGGGCTGTCAGTTTTAGGAAAGCAGACTCTTCCAGGATCCTCACAAGAGCCTTCTCACCCACCACCCCCCACCCCACACACAAGCAAAGACTCGTTTAAATGTCAGGGAATGGTAGTACTTCTCTCTCCTTTTGCTAACTCCTGCTTTGTCACCACTCAGCCATTTCCCCCCTTTTCTGTCTCCCCTGTTCAGAGCCAGACTACCAGGTGTATTTGAATGCCTCCAAGCTCCCCGAGTTTTCAGACGACCCCACGGAGCTGGAGTGTCACGTAGTGGCCGCGAAGCGCCCCGAGGCGAACATCCGCTTCACGGTGTCGTGGTACTACAAGAGGAGCCGGCGCAGCGACGACGAGGTCACCAGTGAGCTGCTCGCGGTCATGAACGGGGACTGGACGCTGCGGTACGGAGAGAGGAGCAAGCAGCGTGCTGAGGATGGAGAGCTCATTTTCTCAAAGGCGCCTGTGGACACGTTCCGTTTCCGAATCCAAAGGACCACAGAGGAAGACAGGGGCAACTATTACTGCGTGGTGTCGGCCTGGAGCAAGCAGCGCAATGACAGCTGGGTCAAAAGCAAGGACGTTCTCTCCAAGCCCGTCACCGTGTTCTGGGCCTCCGAAGGTGGGCATGTGATTTTGTCTGTTGTCTGTTTGGGTGCCAGGTTTTTCATGGGGGCCAGCCCCGCCGGCATGGCCAGGATTCACCATTGCCTCAGCCACTGCAGGCTGGACACACCGAGCATGTTCTCGACCTCAAGGCCTGGGTAGCTAGAGAGGGTGGCCTTGTGGATCATGTTGGAGCACTTGGTGTAGGGACTTCACAGGGGCAGAACAATAGCCGGTCCTGCGATGGTGAAGGACACGAACAGCCCCGGCTCCAGGGCCCAGGCATTCTTGAGGAAGGTGGTGAATTTCGTCACCGCTTTGACCTTGGCAGCGGTGACAAGGAAGTGGAGCCAAGAGTGTGATTCTTGTTCCTTAGCCTTTCTCCCTTTCCTGGCTCAAGTCAACCCCCTGGCCGTTTTCAGACGCAAGTTACCAAGTTCACTAGGAGCCCAAGAGATACAGTCTCGAAAGCAGGCGTAGCAACCCCGTTCTCATTATAGTAAACCAAATCCAAGCTCGCTGCCATGGAGCCGATGCCAACTCCCAGCCACCCTGGAGGACAGGGTGGAACTGCCCCTGTGAGTTTCTGAGACTGTGACTCCTCATGAGAACGGAAAGCCTTGTCTTTCTCCTGAGGAGCAGATGGTGGCTTTGAACAGTCAACCTCGGGGATCACAGCCAAGGAGTAATCAAGATGCCACCAGGGCTCCTTTTATGACAGTAAGAGTTCCTATAAAATGGTGGTGCCGAGGGGAAGTGTGGGACAGCTAGGACTGGGTTTTTGGTGGAAGGTGGTCTTGTAGGCGGTCGGAGGGTCTGTAGCCACAACACTGCACAGGGCGAGCCTTTGATGCTTTGTTGCTCGGCTGAGTGTCTGAGACAAAACCCTTGGGTATGTCAATGTCCATGAGTTCCTGTTGGGGTGCACACGCTTTTGAGACGCTGCACAGCCAAATGGGTATTCTCAGCATTGCTGCTGCTCCTGCTCCAGAGAGATAAGGCATCATTTAGAGAGACTCATTTCCAGGGCGAGGTGACAAGAGCTGGAAATGCACCCACTCCTGAAGGCTCAGAGCAATGCCTGCTTTGGGACAGCAGGCTTAACTTCATCAAGTCTCTGAGCCTGTCCTTGGACACCATCCGAGGAAACCTGGTCCACACCTTCATCATCCTAGGGCCCTCTGCCTGCCTTCTCCATCCTCAAGCACCAGACTGAGCCCTCTCGAGCTCTGTCATCAGCACAATCTCTTATTTCCTGAACCTCCTCTCTGCATGTTCTTGCTCCCTTGCATGAACCAGTACTGGCTTCACCCTGCCCTGAGGGCACTGGTTCCCGTACAGCCCTTCTCACCACAGGCATCTTCTCTCCTACCCCTCACCGCTGGGTGGTGTGAACACAGTATTCCGTCGCTACCCAAAGGTGGAAGGCGAGTTCACTCAGAGAGTCCTCAAAAGAAAGGGCAGGCAGTCTAGGTCTGAAAAGCCAGCTGTTGAAAACCCCACGTAGCAGTTAGTTCTACTCAGGCACCCTTGAGGACGGAGGACGACATTATTTCAAGATAGATTCAAAAGTGGATTAGAGATGAGCTCCTCACGGCTGCATCCACACCGTTTTCCCCGCTGGCTAGATGCTCAGCCGGGAGTCTCATGGTACCATAGCAGCCTGCCTCTCTCAGCACGGTCCCTTGCCACCTTCTCATTTCTACCCTGCGTTCTTTGTAGCCATTAGCTAGGTTCCATGGTCACTCTCCAATACGTCTCTCTGGCTGACGTCACAACCCATGTAGCGTACTGCTTCTCATCTTGGCTGTGCATTGGGGGATCACACAAGGAGCTTCAGAATAATATGAAGGCTTGCATTCCACTCCAAGAGTCTCTTTCAGTTGACCCGAGGCATGTGCAGTGAGGGCAGTGGACTTGCTATATGCTCCCAAGGTGATTTCTGCGGTACAGTCCAGGTTGAGAGCGGTAGTGTAGATCCATCTTTCTGTCCTAGTTCTCGAGTACTGCTAGTACAGAAACCCCACACATAGGGGCCTTTAAGAAGCAGAAGTGTGTTCCTTCACAGTTTAGGAGGCTAGGATTCCAAATTCAGAACACCAGCTCTAGGGAAGGCTTTCTGTCTTTCAGCTTTGGGAGAAAATCCGGGTCACCTTTCAACATCTGTGGGTTTGGCAACCACTGGAGATCTCTCTGTGTCTTGGCACTGATCTTCGCCCGGGCCTCGGAAGTCCACAGTGCAGAGACCCTGGCTCCAGGGGATGGGCTCTGCCCCAGCTCTCCTTTCGTGGTCCCTCTAGTCTCTGCTCTTTTGTTTGATTGCGTTGTTTTTATTTCAAAAGAGATTGACACAAGATACAACCTAATCTTACAGATTGCATCTGTCTCGTTTACAGAAGTGCCAGCAATTCTCTGTCCTTAGCATCATCGAACACTTGTCTGTCAGTTTGTCTTGCTGTGGTGGGTTGTGTGTTGCTGTGATGTTGGAAGCGGTGTCACTAGCATTTTATATTCCAGCTGGGTCACCAAAAAGGAACCGGTTTCAGCAGGACTACCAGCCTAAGAACAGACTGCATGAGAGGAAGTAGCCGCTGAAAACCTTATGTGCAGCATGGAAGCATTGTCAGATAAGCAGGGCCAGAAGATGAGCCCCTGAGGTCAGCAGGCACTCAAAATATGATTGAGGAAGAGCTGCCTTCTCAAAATAAAGTTGACTGTAATGGCATGTGTGTGAGTCCAGTTAACTCGAGAAACAAATTCATAGACACTCCTATGTGTGTAAGAGAGAACTTTATATCAAAGAGCAATTGTACATTAAGAGAACATCCCTGCCCAGTCCAGATCAAGTCCATAAGTCCGACATTACCCCATATGTTGATACTAGTCCATAAATTCCTCTTCAGACTCACACGGCCATGCAATGATGCCAGATGGAGGAAGATCACAGGCCAATGGGTGGGTAGTCTTGTAGATCCAGTGGCCGTGGAAGCATCTCAGAGCTGGCCTGAGTCTCCATGTGGCTTCTCCAGCTCCAGGGCGCTCTTGTCGCTCCATGTGTCTTCTCAACAGGAATGTCTCTCAGGGAGCCGAAGCAGAGAGA